TCTCTACCTCTCTCTCTCTCTCTCTCTCTCTCTCTCTCTCTCTCTCTCTCTCTCTCTCTCTCTCTCTCTCTCTCTCTCTCTCTCTTCTTCCGCGAACTATCGAAAATCTCCTTTTCTTCTCTCGTTTATTAATATTCATCCCATCTCTCTTCTTTCTTCTTCGAAAACGGGATTCGTTTCGCCGATCTTTTCCATACCATCGTTTAGACCCGGGAATAAGTCTTCTTTCCCTCCACCAGGATTCGAGAATCCCCTTTGTCGTGTTTCCACACGGTGACACACTTTCGCGAGGTAACACTTTTTAACGCTTTATAAATACAGGCATTCGACGATTTCGAGAGGAACGAAAATTGCGAAGGTTGTTTGACAAAAATTTAGCGCGGTTATTGCGAATCCGAGCTTTCCTCGGAAGCTTCTCTCGCGCAAATTTATCCCCCCTCCCCCCCCGTCTCCCCGCGCGATAAAAAGACCGGGCGTGTAAACGTCGCTCGCGGTTGAGCGCGGGGAACTCGATTCCAGCGAGCGGGAGTAACCCAGTTTCTCCGCCGCGAGTTTAAATTAAACTCGGGAGGAGGAGGAGGAGGAGGAGGGCGGCTGTGTGTGCGTGCGTCTGCGGAATTCCCTGCCTTTTCTTCTTTCCCTTTTTTTCTTTCAATCTCCGCGAACGCGTGGAATCTCGAACGAGTGAAAGTTGTTCCGCTCTTGTTCGATCCTTCGTTTGTTGTGAACGATCGAGCAGAGATGTCGAGAGAGATGGAACAAAGTGTAATTAAAAGCGGATCCTCGGAATTTCGTGGAAATTATCGGTGACGTGAGAAAAAATTTGGAACGATCTCTGGAGAGGGAATTAGTTAGGAGTTGCTGGGAAGCCAGAGCGGTGCGTGGACGCGTATACGGATTCAGCGCGCGATGCAACACGTATCGTGGGGTGGAGAGTGGCGAGAGGGCTGAATGAGCAGGGAACGTACGGTCGTGGACAGATAGTGGGATAGTGGAAACAAAAACATCGCGAGGTTATCGCGCCGGCTCCGCCCGCCCTCCAACCTGATCGATATATATATATATTCCCCCGCGTTCTAGGAAAATATCGACCGAGTCTCGGGTTACTTCGAATCAATCGGATGCTGGTCGAATATTTTCTCTCTCTTCCGAATTTTTTTCTCGTTACATTATGGAACCGTTTCGAGGGGAAATTTCTCGTTCAATCTGTGCGTTTTAAAATGATACGAAACGATCAACGAATTATATTGTATTTTTTGGTGTGTTCTATCGAGGGGAAAATTGTTTTCGAGATGGGATATTTCGACGTTATTTGCGACGAATCGAATCACGGGCCGAGTAGAGGTTAGGTCGCGCCACCCTTCGCAGCATCCTCGCCCGCGGCGTATCAGCAACACCCTACCATACCGTTCGAGAAACGTCCACATCGCGAAAAGGTAAATCAGTCTCTCTCTCTCTCGGGTTGGAAAAACCGATATCTTATTAAACTGAACGGGATTACGTCGCGGAACACGATTATGTCGGATCTAATCTCCTGATAATTTCCTCCCTTCCCTCTCCTCGAGCACTCGTCGAGATTTGCTAAATGGATGGGGCAGAAGAATCCTCTGCCGTAGAAGAAGGAGCTCACCTCGTTCTCAATGTGGAGCACAGAGTGGAAGAAGAAGACTTGGAGGTTACTTGGATGGGAAGCGAGAGAAGATCGAGCGCCTCCTCGTCGAGGATGCGCAATTGCGAGGTTCAAGAATGGTTAAGGAGGAAGGAAATGGAGAAGCTGATCGTGTTCGGAAGAGGTTAGCTTCTTACGGTGGCGGTCCTGTTGGCCTGGCACGCGGCGTCACAACAATCGGCGGCGGATCGATTCGGTCGTGGACCTCGAAAAAGCGTCGCGGCGAGCTGCTGCCGCGGCATCCGACACGAAACACGGCCAGACTGCATGGCGACCACCTGTGAGCTTCGTGCCGGCGCCGGCGTCGCGACGCCCACCGCGTTACGTCCATCGACCCGACCGCCCGACCAACCGATCGCCGCGCACTCTCCTCCATCCTCCTTTCCTAACCGATCTTCAAACTCGCCACCGGTTTTCCCTCCTCGAAAAACGAAAAAAAAAAAAAAAAATGCTCGACCTTCAACTTTTTTTCCTTCTTCAATTTCAATCGGGATTTGAATAGAGAAAAAGATTCTTGGCTCGGTCGAGGAAGCGCGTTGGAGAATCGCGTTGGAAACACCTATTGTTAAAACGAAAACATTGGACGACGTCCGTTCATTGATTCCGATCCGTTCGATCGGATGACGATGTTTCGCCGTTCTTTCTCTCCCGACTGTGGCATTAACGCTCGTAAAATTTCAGAGAGAGATATCGTAACACCGCGCTCGCGAGATAATAATCGCGGTAATTACGATGATTACAACCGCCATTGTTCTTCCTGTCCGATATTATCCGCTTTCCGCGCTTCTCCCTGCTTTCTTGCCGGCAGTTGAAAAAAAAAAAAAGAAACAAAAGAACGAGAGAAAGAAGAGAGAAGGAAAGGTGAGGAGAGGGAGGTGAGGAAAGGGAAAAAGTGGGTCGGGGCGAAATGGGTGGTGGGTAAAAATTGGAAACGACGCTCTCTCGAGTTGTCTGGTCGAGCTCGCTCGATATTCCAAACGACGGGAACGAAACGGGAAGCTTGGCGACGAGGCCTGTGAAACGGGATACGACATTCGATCAGATCTCGGAGAAAAAAATTCTATTACCACGGATCTGTTACGAGTCGGTTTACCCGACTGCCTGTTCAACGGCTCGAGCTTTCACAAAACCGCGGAAAACATCGGGTACACTCGGCGAGTAATAAAGCGGGGAATCTTAGATTCTCTTTCATAAAAGTAACGTTGCAGAAAGAAGAAATTGCTTTGAAATTTCACGCTCGATGAAAGAAACGCACTGAAGATCGTAAAAATTGTACGTACGAAGAATATGCGCGTAAGGTGTTGATACATTCAACGTGACACATCGATTCTAATGATTAAAGCAAACGGAAAAATGTCGAGTTGTAAACAATCGAAGTTCGCGTTAGATGAAACGAGAACGGAGTAACGAAGATTCTCTCTGTCTCCTTCTGGCAAACACAAACGCGCAACTTAATAAACAAAATCTTCACCACCACTGTTTTTGTACACCAATTTTCTCATTTATTTT